TCTGAAGAAGCGAGCACCATGTCACATTAATAACTGTTCACTGAGGGTCTGTGGCCTGCAGCCCTCAGTGCAGCCTGACAGGCACACACTGTACAAATACTTCATTACAGGTCTTACTGAAGTAAAAGTACACAGACGTTTTATCAAGTTTGTTCCAGCAATCAAAGAAAAGACTTTAAATAAAAACTCTAAATGTAATATTTAATATATAAAAAGAGTTTGTTGAACTTAAAAAGAGAAAAAGAATAAAGGGTTAATAAACACATTTCTCTTAGTTACTATGCTGAAATATCAGTTTTCTTCTCAGAGCTCACAGGCAGAAGAAGCTCTTCACAGATATGTTTCACTCTTCAGGTCGGGTTCTGTTTGTTTGGCGTCCGGCTGGAAACCTTGAGTGACGTCATCTCTAATCAGCACGGGACGCTCTGTATTTTAATGTCTGCAGCTTCTTCTTTACAGAACTTTTCTTTCTGTCAGTGTCTCTTCTGTCAAACCGTCCACTTATTTTAACACAGATATCTGAGCGGTTAACTTCTGCTGATGCTTCAAGTAATCAGATGGTTTTATCAGATAATAATAAAACATTCAGAAACAAACTAAACTTCATTTAAATGATTCTTGGATTTATCAGAATGATGTTGTTTCAGCTCTGACGGAGGTCAGAGTGACGTCGAGTTGAACTTCCTCTGAATAGAAAGTACTTTCTCTCTGTGTATATTTACTCTAAGTTGGATCTCTGAATAGAAAGTACTTTCTCTCTGTGTATATTTACTCTAAGTTGGATCTCTGAATAGAAAGTACTTTCTCTCTGTGTATATTTACTCTAAGTTGTTGGATCTCTGAATATAAAGTACTTTCTCTCTGTGTATATTTACTCTAAGTTGTTGGATCTCTGAATATAAAGTACTTTCTCTCTGTGTATATTTACTCTAAGTTGTTGGATCTCTGAATATAAAGTACTTTCTCTCTGTGTATATTTACTCTAAGTTGGATCTCAGAATATAAAGTACTTTCTCTCTGTGTATATTTACTCTAAGTTGTTGGATCTCTGAATATAAAGTACTTTCTCTCTGTGTATATTTACTCTAAGTTGTTGGATCTCTGAATATAAAGTACTTTCTCTCTGTGTATATTTACTCTAAGTTGTTGGATCTCTGAATATAAAGTACTTTCTCTCTGTGTATATTTACTCTAAGTTGGTGGATCTCTGAATATAAAGTACTTTCTCTCTGTGTATATTTACTCTAAGTTGTTGGATCTCAGAATATAAAGTACTTTCTCTCTGTGTATATTTACTCTAAGTTGGTGGATCTCTGAATATAAAGTACTTTCTCTCTGTGTATATTTACTCTAAGTTGTTGGATCTCTGAATATAAAGTACTTTCTCTCTGTGTATATTTACTCTAAGTTGTTGGATCTCTGAATAGAAAGTACTTTCTCTCTGTGTATATTTACTCTAAGTTGTTGGATCTCTGAATAGAAAGTACTTTCTCTCTGTGTATATTTACTCTAAGTTGGTGGATCTCTGAATATAAAGTACTTTCTCTCTGTGTATATTTACTCTAAGTTGTTGGATCTCTGAATATAAAGTACTTTCTCTCTGTGTATATTTACTCTAAGTTGTTGGATCTCTGAATATAAAGTACTTTCTCTCTGTGTATATTTACTCTAAGTTGGTGGATCTCTGAATATAAAGTACTTTCTCTCTGTGTATATTTACTCTAAGTTGTTGGATCTCAGAATATAAAGTACTTTCTCTCTGTGTATATTTACTCTAAGTTGTTGGATGTCTGAATATAAAGTACTTTCTCTCTGTGTATATTTACTCTAAGTTGGATCTCTGAATATAAAGTACTTTCTCTCTGTGTATATTTACTCTAAGTTGTTGGATCTCTGAATATAAAGTACTTTCTCTCTGTGTATATTTACTCTAAGTTGGTGGATCTCTGAATAGAAAGTACTTTCTCTCTGTGTATATTTACTCTAAGTTGTTGGATCTCTGAATATAAAGTACTTTCTCTCTGTGTATATTTACTCTAAGTTGGTGGATCTCTGAATAGAAAGTACTTTCTCTCTGTGTATATTTACTCTAAGTTGGATCTCTGAATAGAAAGTACTTTCTCTCTGTGTATATTTACTCTAAGTTGGTGGATCTCTGAATATAAAGTACTTTCTCTCTGTGTATATTTACTCTAAGTTGGATCTCTGAATAGAAAGTACTTTCTCTCTGTGTATATTTACTCTAAGTTGGATCTCTGAATATAAAGTACTTTCTCTCTGTGTATATTTACTCTAAGTTGTTGGATCTCTGAATATAAAGTACTTTCTCTCTGTGTATATTTACTCTAAGTTGTTGGATCTCTGAATAGAAAGTACTTTCTCTCTGTGTATATTTACTCTAAGTTGGTGGATCTCTGAATATAAAGTACTTTCTCTCTGTGTATATTTACTCTAAGTTGGATCTCTGAATAGAAAGTACTTTCTCTCTGTGTATATTTACTCTAAGTTGGATCTCTGAATATAAAGTACTTTCTCTCTGTGTATATTTACTCTAAGTTGTTGGATCTCTGAATAGAAAGTACTTTCTCTCTGTGTATATTTACTCTAAGTTGTTGGATCTCTGAATAGAAAGTACTTTCTCTCTGTGTATATTTACTCTAAGTTGTTGGATCTCTGAATAGAAAGTACTTTCTCTCTGTGTATATTTACTCTAAGTTGGATCTCTGAATATAAAGTACTTTCTCTCTGTGTATATTTACTCTAAGTTGTTGGATCTCTGAATATAAAGTACTTTCTCTCTGTGTATATTTACTCTAAGTTGGTGGATCTCTGAATAGAAAGTACTTTCTCTCTGTGTATATTTACTCTAAGTTGTTGGATCTCTGAATATAAAGTACTTTCTCTCTGTGTATATTTACTCTAAGTTGGATCTCTGAATAGAAAGTACTTTCTCTCTGTGTATATTTACTCTAAGTTGGATCTCTGAATATAAAGTACTTTCTCTCTGTGTATATTTACTCTAAGTTGTTGGATCTCTGAATATAAAGTACTTTCTCTCTGTGTATATTTACTCTAAGTTGTTGGATCTCTGAATAGAAAGTACTTTCTCTCTGTGTATATTTACTCTAAGTTGTTGGATCTCTGAATAGAAAGTACTTTCTCTCTGTGTATATTTACTCTAAGTTGTTGGATCTCTGAATATAAAGTACTTTCTCTCTGTGTATATTTACTCTAAGTTGGTGGATCTCTGAATAGAAAGTACTTTCTCTCTGTGTATATTTACTCTAAGTTGTTGGATCTCTGAATATAAAATACTTCTTCTCTGTTTTGTTCCTGCAGTTCCCGTGTTTAACCTGTGGGGGGCAGCAGAGGGCGGGGCTTCGTTCCTAGCCGCACGATTGGACGTAGTTTTCGGGGAAGAAGCCCCTGTTGCCGTTGAGAAGTCCCTCGCACCAGCCGTCGTCATGGCGATGCGTCAGGTAGATACGACTTCATGAGCTTCTTTAATGATAAAATTCTAGCTATTAGAGACAAAATTCACCAAGACCTGCCCTCAACTGGCACCGACTTATCTCTTAACTCAGGAACCTTAGAAACAGCTGTAGAAACAGATACATGTTTAGACTGTTTTGCTTCCCTCAATCTTTACCAACTAACTTCAATAATTTCTTCATCTAAACCATCAACCTGCCTCTTAGACCCCATCCCGACTAGGCTGCTTAAAGATGTTTTACCCTTAGTCAGCACTTCTATACTAGATATGATCAATCTATCTGTATCAACAGGCTATGTACCACAGTACTTTAAAGTAGCTGTCATTAAACCTCTTCTGAAAAAGCCCAAACTTGATCCGGATGTTTTAGCCAACTATAGACCTATATCTAACCTTCCATTTCTCTCTAAGGTTCTGGAGAAAGCAGTTGCTAAACAGCTGTGTGACTTTCTACAGAGCAATAGTTTATTTGAGGATTTTCAGTCAGGATTTAGAGCTCATCATAGCACAGAGACAGCACTGGTGAAAATTAAACCTTATTTCGTGGCAAAGTTGTCAAACTTTTTATCAGATTTTAATGCTGATTCTATTCATGTAGTTTTTATGTCCCGGTGACCTGGATAAGTGCAGTTCTGGTTCTCTGCCCATTCATTCAGAGAGGAGCTCTTGTTAGTCTGAAATAGCTGCCCGGAGGCGTTGCCAATATGGCTGCCGAGTGGCATGACTTGCCTAAAAGGACTTCGGTGTCCATCCCAGAGCAGGAAACGTTGGGATCAGAAATATCGATACTTTCCGTCACTAATGTGCACTGTCCCTGCTAAATTAAACTGATTAAATAAATAAAAAGAAAAGAAAGTTTCAGCTAGATTGAGTGGTTTTGAGTGGAGAGCTTCATTCTGACCTGAAATAGGACGTTTGGGGAACTGGGTCAGAAGTTGTGGATTTGAGTTTAGAGTTTTGAGAAAAAGAGGCCTAATTTCAAGAAATGTGTTCAAGCAATCAATAAAAACTGGAATTACTTTGATGGAATTATTTTTTCCAGCCACAACCTGACTCCTGGATTCAAGTGCTATGAATTCCTGATATTTCTTACTTGTCTTTTTCTGCACGTGTGTGAATGAAATCAAAGTAGAGTTGTATGTGGAGCTTGTGAAGGATGAAGGCAGACTGAAGCTCACCTCATCACAAATCATTCTGAGTGAGTTTCCCTCACATGATTGTTGTTACTTTGGTTTCCAGGTAAGGATTTCCATTCCTCTTTACATCGTGTCAAACATGTAAACTAAAGGCATTTATTTAACTTTTTAACTATTTCTGCCAGCAAAAATTAGACTTCCCCAAAGTAAATAAGAATCACTAGAAAGATACAGTTTAGTTTAGAAAGTAGTGCACTCAGCTTCTCCTTCCAAACACCAAATGTCTTCGTCTCTGGGTTTATTGTCCTGAAAATATCAGTTCTTGTCTAGTGCAGATGAGAGTTGGTGCTCAAACATCACATGACACAATATTCAGGTTCTCAGTAGATCTTTATTGCTTGAGAGCCACAGCAATCCTCAGCATCACACAGAAATGACTAAGGAGAGGCGCTCCCTCCTCAGTTCTTAGAAAGACATGACGCACATTAACTGTGGCCAACAACAGGACGGACATGATTTCACTCAGGTGTTATTCAATCTTTCTTTACTTGGCTGAAGACATGTCAACATCTCAAACCTCCACCACCTGCACTCCTCCTTAACCTGCTTCACACGTACAGTAAATAGATGATTAACATTCTTCAGACACAGGAAGAGGTTTCAACCCCTCCAGGCTAAACTCTTTTATAAGGAGTTTACTTCAATATAGTTTCCCAACAACTTAAACAAAGAAGAAAGAAGCATTTTAATATGAGACTGCAGCCTGTATGTATTTACTTATTACTCATTTGCAGGTATAGGTACAAGTGGGCTGTCTTTAGTTTCTTTCTGCTTTACATTAAACAGCTTGTAAGTCTGATCCTCCTTTCTGACCCACAGATGAATGTAGTCCGGTCCTCCAACATTAACCTGCAGGGGAAAGAGAGGACATTTGGACATCTTAATAAATATATTCAACCTGATCTTTTGTTTTTGAGCAGTGAGGAACAGTGTCGGCTGACTCACCTGGATGTCACAAGAAATTCAGTCCATTTATTTAGTTTTGTCACAATATTAATTACCTTGATGAGGAATTCTTTCATCACCCCAGGATTCGTGTCACTCTTCCTGTATAGACATGCTCTGTATTTCTCAAAGTCCTTTCCTGTCGTTTTCTCCACTTGATCCTTCACCTGTGAAAAGAAATCAGATGTGATGGAAACACAGACCACAGAGTTGTGCCTGGAGGTTGTGAAGAACGAAGGTAGACTGAAACTCACGTCCTCAGAGATCTGCTGCAGAGTGGCCTTCTTAGTCGGACCCCATTGTTCAGCCATTGTCACAAAGTCCTCTGAATTTAAGGGAGAAGTCACCTTAATGTTTTGATGCGCCTCAAGTGTTGCGACTGTTGATGAACTGCACATGTATTTATACAGAGGAACCGCCCCCGGTTACACCTGAAAGGTGGCTCCACTAGATGCTGGGTGGAGCTACATGTTTAACCTCTGATGTGAATGAACATTAGAAAGGTGGGATCTTCTTGGCAATGGTCCTGCTCTACATCGCACAGATCAGTCTTTCCTACCGCTGAAGGTAACTGCTTCTTTCCACCAGGCACGTGCACACAGACATCACCTTCCCATTAAACATCATTAAAGTAAAGGAAACAGCATTTTAATGCCATGACTTGGTCAGGGCTGATTTTAACTATTGAATGTAATGTTGGCAAATCCTCAGGGGCCCCAAACGGCCCCAGGTTAGCTGTGTCTAAACTATTTTGTTTTTATTGTCAGATCGACGCAGTGGAGTAAAAAATAGGCCAAAGTTTTTACCTCTGAAATGTGGTGGAGCAGAAGAAGAAAGTAACATCAAATGGAAATACTCTCACTACTACCTCAAAGAAGGTGAAAGTCTTCGTTGTCACGATCCTCCAACAACGCTCAGAGATTTGTGGAAAAAACAAAGCACATATAAAAATACTTCAACCTGTATACTATATATAGTATATTCTCATAATATATATTCTTTTTTGTCTCCATGACGTCACATCAACATCACATGACATTAAGACCCAGCGAGGGCAAGGCGGCTACAGGCGCCAAGTCCGGTGGCGGCAGTTGCTTTTCTCCGGCTGCACAAATTTTGAACCACCTTTTGCCTGATCATTGTTCAAAGCTCATGCACTGACGCCCTGTTTTTATTCCCCGTCCCTGCAGTTGCCTGCAGCTCACGCTAGACTATCAAGTCAGCGAAAGTCAGCCGCCGTCATCTCGAGCACATCTCTTGACTACCAGCTGTACTTCGACAGCTGTATTCTAATGTTAACATAGCTCTCCTTGTTAGCTACGCTCCTTACTTGCAATTGACTTTTTTGAAGGTGAGTCTCTGACACTGATTTGAGAACCCCTCTTTATTTTTCAAAGATCAGTGGCCCTCAGGTCCATGCAACTGTTTCTGGTTTTGTTTCTGGTTTGGAACCCATGTAACTACTGACATAACTATGCATGCCATAGCATGGTTTACTCGCTCGCGGTCAAGTTATCAACGCTTTGTAACAACAAATATGCGTCTAGTTAGAATTTCTAAATAAAATGCTTGTGTTTCGAAACATCACCATTTGGAAACCGCACATTATTAAAGTTGTGAAACGTTGCAGTTTGGTTAGGTTTGGGTGCCAAAAAGTACATGGTTAGCTTTGGACGCCAAAAAGTACTTGGTTAGGTTTAGGCACCAAAAGTACTTGGTTAGGGTTAGGCACCAAAAGTACTTGGTTAGGTTTAGGCACCAAATGTACTTGGTTAGGTTTGGGCGCCAAAAAGTACATGGTTAGGTTTGGGCGCCAAAAAGTACATGGTTAGCTTTGGACGCCAAAAAGTACTTGGTTAGGTTTAAGCACCAAAAGTACTTGGTTAGGGTTAGGCACCAAAAGTACTTGGTTAGGTTTAGGCACCAAAAGTACTTGGTTAGGTTTGGGCGCCAAAAAGTACATGGTTAGGTTTGGGCGCCAAAAAGTACTTGGTTAGGGTTAGGCACCAAAAGTACTTGGTTAGGTTTAGGCGCCAAAAAGTACTTGGTTAGCTTTGGGCGCCAAAAAGTACTTGGTTAGGTTTGGGCACCAAAAAGTACTTGGTTAGGTTTAGGCACCAAAAGTACTTGGTTAGGTTTAGGCACCAAAAGTACTTGGTTAGGGTTAGACACCAAAGGCACTTGGTTAGGGTTAGACACCAAAGGCACTTGGTTAGGTTTAGGCGCTAAAAGTACTTGGTTAGGTTTAGGCACCAAAAGTACTTGGTTAGGTTTAGGCACCAAAAGTACTTGGTTAGGTTTAGGCACCAAAAGTACTTGGTTAGCTTTGGGCGCCAAAAAGTACTTGGTTAGGTTTAGGCACCAAAAGTACTTGGTTAGGGTTAGGCGCCAAAAAGTACTTGGTTAGGTTTAGGCACCAAAAGTACTTGGTTAGGTTTAGGCACCAAAAGTACTTGGTTAGGTTTGGGCGCCAAAAAGTACATGGTTAGGTTTGGGCGCCAAAAAGTACTTGGTTAGGGTTAGGCACCAAAAGTACATGGTTAGGTTTGGGCGCCAAAAAGTACTTGGTTAGGGTTAGGCGCCAAAAGTACTTGGTTAGGTTTAGGCGTCAAAAAGTACTTGGTTAGGTTTAGGCGTCAAAAGTACTTGGTTAGGGTTAGACACCAAAGGCACTTGGTTAGGTTTAGGCGCTAAAAGTACTTGGTTAGGTTTCGGCACCAAAAGTACTTGGTTAGGTTTCGGCACCAAAAGTACTTGGTTAGGGTTAGACACCAAAGGCACTTGGTTAGGTTTAGGCGCTAAAAGTACTTGGTAAGGTTTAGGCACCAAAAGTACTTGGTTAGGTTTAGGCGCAAATAGTACTTGGTTAGGTTAGGGCGCCAAACGTATTTGGTTAGGTTTAGGCACTAAAAGTATTTGGAGAGGTTTAGGTACTAAAGGACTTGTTTAGGCTCAAAAGTACTTGGTTAGGTTTAGGCGCAAATAGTACTTGGTTAGGTTTAGGCGCTAATAGTACTTGGTTAGGTTAGGGCGCCAAACGTATTTGGTTAGGTTTAGGCACTAAAAGTACTTGGAGAGGTTTAGGTACTAAAGGACTTGTTTAGGCTCAAAAGTACTTGGTTAGGTTCGACAGGACACAAACACCGGTCTCCTGGTTCAAAGTCCGGGTTCTGGCCCTCCTTTCACCCCAACCACCTCCTTTCATTGTCTTTTCTGTTAAATATTATATACCTACCTTTACTGTCTAAAACTGACGCTACAGAGCTTCCCTCACTGCGTTGAACTATGACGCTATAGGGATCTCCAGTGCGTTACTGGAGATACTTACTGGTGCGGACGGACGTTGCTGACGTACTGCGGTAAGCGTGTTGACTCATTTCCGTTTCCGGTGCTTGTGTGTTGGTACCGTGTTGTGCTGCTCTCGCTAAATAACATTTGTTAGATTACAGAAGCCAACTGTCCGCCAAACATTTCTTCTTACAGTAATTTTGCCTAAGCACTCACAGTTCTTTCCATCTTTTAGTGACTGCTGTTCAATCTCATAGTTGTTCAAAAGTTTTGGTAGCTGACGCTACAGTACTTTAGCTTAGCTGTTAGCGACTTTAGCTTAGCAGCTAGCGATGGCTTCTCCTTCTATTCAATTCAATTTTATTTATATAGCGCCAAATCACAACAACAGTTATCTCACAGCGCTTTTCATAAAAGAGCAGGTCTAGACCGAACTCTGTGATGATATTTACAGAAGCCCAACAGTTCCCACCAAGAGCAGCACTAGGAGACAGAGGCAAGGAAAAACTTCCTTTAAGAGGCAGAAACCTCGAGCAGAACCATGGCTCAGGGTGGGCGACCATCTGCCTCCACCGGTTGGGGTGAAGGAGAGAGAGAGAGAGAGAGGGAGAGAGAGAGAGAGAGAGGGAGAGAGGGAGGGAGGCAGCCTACACAATAGACACACAGAGGTACAGACAGTAAAGGTAATGTTGCTATAGACTAAATGAATAATGGTACAGATATTTATAATAGTGTTAATGGTAACAATCGTAATGTTAATGATTATAATAACAATAATAACAATAAGACTAGCAACAATAGTTGTTGCAGCAGAGGGTGTCGAGCAGGAACACGGGGGCAGCAGGTGACCCGCAACCACAGATCCAGACTCCACAGCTCCAGAGCCAGAAAAACCTGCAGGAAGTGATAGGAGGAGAGAGGAGAGGGACGAGAAAGCACAAGACTACCAGAAAGGGGAGAAGTTGTGTTAGTAACATGCAATAATGGGATGAGGTTGCATACAGAGGGAGAGAAAGTAGAGGAGAGAGGAGCTCAGTGCATCATGGGAAATCCCCCGGCAGTCTAGGCCTATAGCAGCATAACTAAGGGACAACATTACCTTCACTGTCTGTACCTCTGTGAGTATATTGTGTAGGCTGCCTCCCTCCCCTCTCTCTCTCTCTCCCTCTCTCTCTCTCTCCCTCTCTCTCTGTTCCTCTCTTGCCCTCTCTCTCTCTCTCTCTCTCTCTCTCTCCCCTTCACCCCAACCGGTGGAGGCAGATGGTCGCCCACCCTGAGTCATGGTTCTGCTCGAGGTTTCTGCCTCTTAAAGGAAGTTTTTCCTTGCCTCTGTCTCCTAGTGCTGCTCTTGGTGGGAACTGTTGGGCTTCTGTAAATATCATCACAGAGTTCGGTCTAGACCTGCTCTTTATGAAAAGCACTCTGAGATAACTCAGCTGCCAGGCTTTTAACCAGAACAAAGAAATATGACCACATTACTCCTATTTTAGCTTCATTACACTGGCTCCCAGTATGTTTTAGAATTGACTTTAAAATTCTATTGATCACTTTTAAAGCTCTTCATGGCCTCTCGCCTTGTTATATTTCTGACCTTTTAGTCCCATACGCACCAGCACGTACCTTGAGATCCTCGGGCAGAGGTCTGTTGTCTGTTCCAGAGTCTCGACTGAAAACTAAAGGGGACAGAGCGTTTGCTGTCAGGGCCCCGAGGCTCTGGAACAGCCTGCCCGAGGAAATCAGGTCGGCTGAGTCAGTGAACTCTTTTAAGTCCCTTCTTAAAACATACTTTTATAGGAGAGCTTTTCCCGATCTTATTTGACTTTATTTTATCCCTTTTATTTTATTGTATTTTACTAATTTTATATTAAATTTTCATGCTCTTATCTTTTTTTTGTTTGTTTTTTGTATTATTCTTTACACTTGTTAAAGCACTTTGTAACTTGTTTTTGAAAAGTGCTCTACAAATAAGGATCATTATTATTATTATTATAACTGTTGTTGTGATTTGGCGCTATATAAATAAAATTGAATTGAATTGAAGTTACAAACCAGTGAGACGCCAATGGTTCTTGACCATGGGTCCATATGTCACGAG